TGAGGAACTGATTACTCGTCTTTTGTATATACTTCTACTGTCTTCCCATTATGTCCTGGAATTTGTGGTGATAAAGCTACTGAATGGCCAAACTTCTACAAATAAAGATACCCAGATGTTGTACATGTGTCTAATTCATCTTGTTTTTGTATACCATTCATGTGAATCGTCCAGTAATAACACCTGTTGGGAGTGTACCTGGAGGGTGTTTCATGAGTCAGTGCCCCCGCGGCCCGGTCCATGACCAGGCCTCTTGGTGGATCAGAGCCTGATCAGCTGGGCTGTTGCTGCTGGCCACACGCAGTCCAACAACCCGGCTGGTGAGGTACTGACATTAGGAACCTGTCTACTTTCCTCTTGAAGACAGCCAGGGGTCCATTGGTAATTCCCCTTTATGTATGATGGGAGGCTGTTGAAGTCTTGTGCCCCTAACATGTATTGTGTTTTCTCTTAGGGTACTCATGGCACCCCTGCTTTTTAGTGGGGGTGTGTTGCGCCGTCTGCTCAGTCTTGTTTTCTTGGGGAGTGATTTATGTGTGCGGATTTGGGGTCAATCCCTCTGGGATTTTCCAGGTGTAAATTATACCTTGAGTATACCTGGAGAGGGTTTCGGGGATCAACGCCCCCAACGCCCCTGATCATTGATTAGGCCCTGATCCACCGGGAGGCCTGGTCGTGGACCGGGCCACGGGGGCGTTGATCCTTGGAATGCTCTCCAGGTAGACTCCATGTAGACGCCCCGGTCTGTGAGGCATCTTTCTCACCTGCGCTCTGAGACCAGGTCAAGGGACTTCAAACGTCCCAGTAATTAAGGCGTTTGAACTAATACGTACTGTAAAGGTTCTCTGTACAGTCTCCAGATGTGTAATTTCGCCTGCCATGAAAGAGGCTGTTTTTTGTACAGCAATATTTCAGCCTAAAGAGAACAAGTGACTTAAAGAGGATCATCATTACCTTGCATTCCTTGTTTTAAAGGTTCATATTATCCATCCTACCATTTTCCTCGCGGTTGTGATAATAACACTTGTGATCTTTGATGGTGTAATCCTGTGACATTATCACATTGTTTTTATATTCCGTTCTAGCTTTTAGTTCAAGTTTTCCATAACGGAGTAAGTGAAATTTGTCCCCAGTGAACGTATTGTTTTCTGCGGCCCATTGGAAGGCTTGGGTTTGTATTCGCTTGGAAATTTATATTTGTATCGTCCTCAGTGGATGACACTAATCTCATGCAAATTCAAATATCAGTAATAATGGTAGAATTACCGACAAAATGGACACAAGCAACTAACGTGACATTTCATTGTGGCAACATTTCGTTCTCCAGATTTGTCAAGCCATAACGGGTTGACAGAGCTCCGGGAGAGCGAAACATTGCCACAACAGAATGCAACATTAGTTGCATCTGTGTCCATTTACCTAACAAATACTAATATCGTCTGCAATGTAACGTGGGAACGCGGAGCTCCAAAACCACAACCACCGGAAACCTAAAATGTGCACGTTTTATTATCAGATCATCTGCAAATACGACCCAGTCGGACCTTCAACAGGGACCTTGTATATACAGCCATCCTTAATAATGTCGAAATTTCTTGAATAAAGGCGCCTGCCGTTGAGGATCCTGCAGCTCTGTCACCCAAAAAGTGTACCGTAGTTCATGTATAAACGAAGAACGGTTCTATAATTCAAAGTGTCTGGCTTTCCACAAGAAGAATACGAGGCGTATAAAGCTTAATGAACATCAGTCATACTATGAATACTGTAATCGTACAACTAACGGTGATTGTTGTGTATATAGTGGCAGGCATCGGTAAGGAACAACGAGAAATATTAAGAATGTGTTAGTACTTAATAAGAGCCTTGCTGGACTTGAATCACAGCCAGTGGCAAGTTCATTACAACCATATATATTAAATTCCTGAAGTTAATTCCTGATCAGCCAGACTAGTCAGGGGCCCGAGACTGTTCAACTGCCTCCCAGCATACATAAGGGGGATTACCAACAGACCCCTGGCAGTCTTCAATCTGGCACTGGACAAGGACCTAAAGTCGGTTCCTGACCAGCCGGGCTGTGGCTCACGTTGGTTTGCGTGCAGCCAGCAGCAACAGCCTGGTTGATCAGGCTCTGATCCACCAGGAGGCCTGGTCACAGACCGGGCCGCGGGGGCGTTGACCCCCGGAACTCTCTCCAGGTAAACTCCAGGTAAACTATGGTTTGTACGTTGGATTGCTTTAGGCCTCTAGTAACAGTCCTTTGATCCACCAGGAAACCTGGTTTGGGACCGGGCCGCAGGGACGTCGACCCCTGAAAACATCCTTCACGTATTGTACATGTGTTAAGTGCATTAGTACGAACGTGGTAAAGATGGTGAGTTGAGTTCATCCTGTGTAACATCTCCATTATGTGCCAGATTAACCAGGCTCTGATGGAAATGTAGGCCAGCGGGCTGCCAGTAAGAACAGGCTAGTTGACCAGGCAAGCACCAGACAAGTCTGTCCCAGGGCAGGGCTGTGTGTAGAAAAACTGGAAATTAATCAATGGTATATGTAAGGTATAGTTTCCTGGGAAAGGTTTCGGTGATGATTGGTGTTTAACCGGGGCTGCAGGCTGATGACCTGATGCATGAAGCTGTTAGTGCTGGGGACGTAAAAAATGCACATGGGCACCACGTCCTGACTGGCGGTACTGTTGCTTGAGGCACTGTGGGAGGCTGTAGGATAAAGTAGTATAGAGGTACTGAAGACATAATATAGATGGCCCGGTGGTCTGGTGGCTAAAACTCCCGCTTCACACACGGAGGGCCCGGGTTCGATTCCCGGCGGGTGGAAATTCCGACACGTTTCCTTACACCTATTGTCCTGTTCACCTAGCAGCAAATAGGTACCTGGGTGTTAGTCGACTGGTGTGGGTCGCATCCTGGGGGACAAGATTAAGGACCCCAATGGAAATAAGTTAGACAGTCCTCGATGACGCACTGACTTTCTTGGGTTATCCTGGGTGGCTAACCCTCCGGGGTTAAAAATCCGAACGAAATCTTATCTTATCTTATCTTATAACAGGTAAGTAAAGTAAGTGGCATAGAAGGTTCATGGTAATGTTAATTGTTCAGGGAAACACTAGGCCACATACAATGGAAAGGAAATATTAAATGGATAATCCATATTAGAAACATTCAGGAAAGTAAAGATAAGTGTATACTAAATGTAAGTAGAACTTGGTAAGATTTAACTGTCATCTTGTGTTCATTAGTCGAAAAAAAAATCACCAGCATTCATGGAATCCTTCGATATGTTATTAGATAAAAAAAAAAAAAGGTGGAAAGTAAGTGTGCATGGTTGGGGTTTACATAGCATTACCTTGAGAGACTTATCAAGTTGTGCTTGTGCTTCCGGTTCTTAGTTACACACTAACAACGTCCGTTCAGCTTGTTAACAGTTGTTGTTTGATATTAGTACGCCATCAAAGACATTTTACTCGGAGTGCTACGTCCTGTTCTTCCTCGTACACATCAACACCTTCACAACAGCACCTTCATATTTTTTCACATATTTGCTTATCGGCTGATATTTTTTATTTTTTTTGCTTCTGTAATAATGGTGGCAGCAATAATAATAATAATAATAAATATAATTGTCCCTGGCTGTGGGGTCATTTAAATGAGGGTCCTGGTGGTCATGATATCCTAGCGTTATCAGAACGTTGAACTTAGAGAAGCTTGTTGCATGTTGGTGCATCTTAATATATATGATCAAAGTGACATTCAGGATGTTCAACGATCTGTTGATATTTGTTAAAATGTAAAGAAAAAGAATATTTGTTGACGTCGAGTTATTTCATCTTAGTGTAATGTGTGTGTGTTAGTTAGTTACCATTGTGTGTGCTTGTGTGTGTGTGTGTATACACTCGCCTAATTGTACTCACCTAATTGTGGTTGCAGGGGTCGAGACTCAGCTCCTGGCCCCGCCTCTTCACTGATCGCTACTGGATCCTCTCTCTCTCTGCTTCCTGAGCTTTGTCATACCTCTTCTTAAAACTATGTATGGTTCCTGCCTCCACTACTTCACTTGCTAGGCTATTCCACTTGCTGACAACTCTATGACTGAAGAAATACTTCCTAACGTCCCTGTGACTCGTCTGAGTCTTCAGCTTCCAGTTGTGACCCCTTGTCCCTGTGTCCCCTCTCTGGAACATCCTATCTCTGTCCACCTTGTCTATTCCCCGCAGTATCTTGTATGTCGTTATCATGTCTCCCCTGACCCTTCTGTCCTCCAGTGTCGTCAGTCCGATTTCCCTTAACCTTTCCTCGTACGACATTCCCTTGAGCTCTGGGACTAGCCTTGTTGCAAACCTTTGTACTTTCTCTAACTTCTTGACGTGCTTGGCCAGGTGTGGGTTCCAGACTGGTGCTGCATACTCCAGTATGGGCCTAACATACACAGTGTACAGTGTCTTGAACGATTCCTTATTAAGGTATCGGAACGCTATTCTCAGGTTTGCCAGGTGTGTGTGTGTGTGTGTGTGTGTGTGTGTGTGTGTGTGTGTGTGTGTGTGTGTGTGTGTGTGTGTGTGTGTGTTTGTGTGTGTGTGTGTGTGAATGTAGCTTTTAGCAAATCAGTATAATACGTAGTATTAATACGTAGTGACAGCACTTGTCTGCTTAGTACTATATTTCATTAGTGACACTTAGAACTAACGCTACTTAGTACAATATTTAATGAGTAACACTAGAACTAACGCTAGTACAGTACTAGTAAGTACCAATAGAACTAACTCTTAGTATAATGTTTAATAAATAACACTAAAACTATCTTTTAATTCAATATTTAGTGAGTATCACTGGAGCTAACGTTTAGTATAATTAAACAGTAACACTTAGAACTAACGCTGGTTAGTGTAATATTTAATAAGTAACCCTTAAGAATAACGTTACATAGTGTAATATTTAAGTAACATTTAGGAATAACGCTGGTGATCTGCTCTCTTTTTGTACGCTCAGTGGAACCCACATGCACACGTACAACCACCACCACCATCACAACCACCACCACCACCACAACAACAACAATCATCACAAGTACGTACTTAACTCCAAGTTGTATAGTCTTCTATTGATCATATACGTGTTACTCGTACGCATGGTTCCTTTCTTGTAAGAGTTAAACAAGGCTTCCTAACGTACGCATGGTTCCTTTCTTGTAAGAGTTAAACAAGGCTTCCTAACGTACGCATGGTTCCTTTCTTGTAAGAGTTAAATAAGGTTTCCTAACGTACGCATGGTTCCTTGTACGAATTAAACAAGGCTCCCTATTGTACGCATGGTTCTTTTCTTGTAAGAGTTAAACAAGGCTCCCTAACGTACGCATGAAGCCTTTCATGTTCCCAGATTTATCCACGTATGATTGATTTCTTGCTACCATAATATTTATACAAGTTTGGTTACCCATGCACATGATTCATACTACCGTAATATCTATCACAATCTACTTTCCCATATACTTAAATATTGTTTTATTATCGTAATTTTTAATATTTCCTGTACAGTAGTTTGCTTTATGTAGCGCGGTAGTGCGTTAGATAGTCGTAGTCTATGCGACTGGTAATGGTGGTGAAGTTAGCTGTTTGGAGGTGACATGTGAAGGGTTGGAGTGTGTGATTGTGTCACACACCTGCCTCTGCACTCTCTCCCCCCCTCCCCCCACACCTGTTAATGATAGCACGTCTTCCATGTCTCCTTCCACTTGCCTTTGTCTTGCTTTGTTCCACTTGCCTTTTGTCTTGCTGTTTCACTCGTTTTGTTTTGTTCTGCTCATTTTGTCTTGCTTTGTTCCAATCTTTGTTTTTGTTTCACTCGTTTTTATCTTGCTTTCTACTTAGTTTTTGTCTTTCTATGTTCCACTTAGTTTTTCTCTTTTTATGTTCCACTTATTGCTTTTATCTTGCTTTCATCAGGTTTGTGTGTGCGCACAAGAGTTGTTTGTTTTGACACCGGCTTCCTATTTAAAATACTCGCCTCTGTGAGGTATTCAAAATCTACTCCAAGTTCATTATTATTCAACTTTTAACACCCAGGTTTGTTGTTTTGATGTCATGTTGAAGGTGAGAGAGCAGCAACACTTGTCATTACCTTGCCCTCACCATCCTCTCTTATCCCTGTGGTAAGTCTCCGCAGGTTTTATACAGGCGTTTTAATTATAAGCGAGAATTCTGTGAGCTTTTTCTAAGCTCGTGAAGTACCGAATGACCCACACGGGCTGGGACCTCGTTCTTGGGGACCATACAGCGCCTGGAGAATAGGAAAATGGGTGGGTATCTGCGAGGAGTTGACTTAAAGAGTGTTCACGGAATTGAACGCTTCCGCGGCCTGGTCCCACCCAGGTCACGTCTTCTGGGAGGGATGAGTTAGGTAAGGTTCGTCACGAAACAGGACAAGTGTTTCCTGACGTGGGTCTTAGTCATATGATGACCCAAGGTTAGAGCTGTTGGTCATCCGACCGATGCCTTCCGCTGGCTTACCGGTAGATTAAAACATGTCACTGGTCAAAAGAGAGGTATAAATAGGAGAATCAAAAGAGGAGAGAGGCAGCTAAGAAATCAATATATTCAGTTAAAGAGAGAAATAAAAAAGAATAAAAAAAGCAGAGAGAGATTATGAGGTTAAAGTTGCAAGGGAATCGAGGACTAACCGAAAAGGATTCTTTCAGGTATACAGATGTAAGATTAGGGACAAGATAGGCCCACTCAAAAGTTACTCGGGTCAGCTCACTGACAATGATAAGGAAATGTGTAGAATTTTTAACACCTCTCAGTTTTTACACAGGAAAATGCTAGTGATATTCCAGAAATAAATTATGTAGAACAGGACGGTAATAAACTACACGATTAGGGTCACAAGTGACATGGTCCTTAGACAAATAGATAAATTAAAACCTAACAAATCCCCAGGCCCTGATGAACTGTATGCAAGGGTTCTAAAGGAATGTAAAGAGGAGCTTAGCAAACCTTTGGCTAATCTTTTCAACATATCACTACAAACTGGCATGGTGCCAGATAAGTGAAAAATGGCAAATGTGATACCTATTTTCAAAGCAGGTGACAGGTCCTTAGCTTCGAACTATAGACCAATAAGCCTAACCTTCATAGTGGGAAAATTTATGGAATCAGTAATTGCCGAGGCAGTTCGAAGCCACATTGAAAAGCATAAATTGATCAACGAATCTCAGCACAGTTTTATGAAAGGGCGTTCCTGCCTTACGAATTTATTAACTTTTTCACTAAGGTATTTGAGGAGGTAGATCATGGTAATGAATATGATATTGTGTATATGGACTTCAGTAGAGTCCCACATCAGAGGCTATTGAGGAAAATTACGGCACACGGAATGGGAGAATTTTTTTCCGCACTCGATGCCCTTAGAAAAGAAGAGTTCCAGTAATGTTTGGAGAAGTGGCAGGGATGCTGGGATCATTGTGTAGCTTCTCAAGGAGACTACTTTTTTTCGCGACAGTTTAGGAATTTTTTGAGAGTTCCTCGTATGCAAGTTCTCTTTGTTAGACTCACTAGTTCAGGGGGAGGGGAGGTGACATCGGAGCAAGGATAGGGTATGACAATGGAGTAAGTATGGGGAGGTCATTGTTGCTTCTGGTCTGTGATTATATTAATCTGTAGTGGTTGAACCAACCTGTCTTATTAAAGCCATTGTTGCTGGGTTTGTATTTTTGTGTGACCTCGATTGAACTCTCTGACTACTCTCTATTGAGGTGTGTTTCAGTGAGAAAACTCTGAGCTGAGTGAAGGAATGCTGAGGGTCAGTTGAGCGAGTGAGTCTTGAGGGGGAGAGGGTGAGATAGTCTTGAGGGTTAGAGAGAGGGGCGGTGTGTGTGTGGCGTGATATGATAAGATGGGGAGCGATATGGTCGTCCCAGAGGTAGCCTGGTACTCATCTAGTTGTACTCGCCTAGTTGTGTTTGTGGGTGTCGAGGCACAGCTCCTGGCCCAACCTATCAGTAAAAACTGTAAGTGATTTGTGGCCTCCCGAAATTGTTTGCCATCTACCTTCTCTAGTGCGTTCCTCTTACCACGATGAGACTGATATAATGTTTACAAACGTCCTCGTGGCTTTATTTGATGTGTCCCTTGACTTCTTCTCCTCTCACCTCACCTCAAAAAACCTGTTCCTATCATGAAAAAAAAATAAAATCCGGGCCAGGATCATACCGGCGAACCACTTCAACCTGTCCCTGTCCACTCTATTTCCCTTAGCATTTTGTATATCATGTCCATACGTCTCTGGTTTTCTCAAGAGTTGCCAATGATAGACGCGAGGACAGCTTTATTTATAAAACTTGAAAGAGCTCTGTTTGAGCTAAACGTTGTTATAATAAAGTTTTACACTGTGTCATGTCTTAATCATCTACTTGTCACTCGTTGCTTCGTCTTCAAAAGTTGTAAGGTTATGTTCTCGTGGTTCATTTTCTTCAGGTCTGGTGCAGATCTTGTTTCAAAGTTTTGGGTCTTCTCTAATTTGTTTATATGCCACCATATATTGAAAGATAGTCCTAACGCAAGAAGTGCATCATCCTCTCAATTAACCTTTAGGGTTCCTAAGAGCGGTTCTCAAATTAGCTGATTTTACATGTCACTGAAGTCAATTTATTTATCTTTTCTTATCGGGATATGCTTAGTGTAATGCTTATGTTCGTACCTTTGTGTTATCTGTAGCTTTGCAACTTACAGGTTATATTTTCTAGCCAGTTTCACCTCTTTCCCTATTCTTGTACAATGCAATACTCGGATAACGCGCACATAGGAGAGAGAAACTTATGACGACTTTTCGGTCGCACTTGGACCATTAACGAGTCACACTAGTTAATGATCCACGTCTGACCGAAACGTCGTTACAAGTTTGTCTCCTATGTGCGGGTTATTTATGTATTGTTCCAGTCACGGTACTGAGCCTTTTTATTCTTTACAATGCGCTTGCCAAGCTCGAATTCAAGTAACCATTTTCCTGACTGCATGGTGACAGTCCCACTAAGAAGTCTGCTACTTCCACCACAGCTGTACCAGGAACCAGCCAACATTGTCGTCTTTCGCGGGATGTTTATGCCCACTTCCACGGAATATCAACCCCATACAACAATCCCCATCCAAAAATATTTGAGTTTAGATGTGTCTTCCGTCTCAGCAGCTGCACATCACTGGTGAGAGAGCCAAGTGCTCCATCACAGACACTAAATGACTCTTCAGTAATTTTGAGTTTTCAAGATTGTACCTATTGAACCACTGACATAGTATTAAAGGTTCTCATAATGAGCGGGTCATCAGATGATCAGGATTCAAGACCCCGTGTCAGGTAGTTTTTCTGGGGCGAATCAGTTAAGAGAAAATCAGAACATTGTAGTGTTTCACTGTCCTCTCCGATTATCTTCTTAGTAATTTTACATCATCCACAAACACTGACAAACTGGTTTGTGAAGTTGGTGCTGTGTGGTGTGTGTCCTCAGCCCTGGCTAGTTATCATGTCCAGTCTTACACCATGATTCCCGCCGGGATTATCTTCCGTAGTCCCGTCTGCCTTAAATCTCTCGTTCTGGTTTGTGTTCTTTCCTGGAAAAAAAATATATATTATTACAAACTTTTACACACTGTTCCATGCCATTATGTTCTGTTATATGTTATTAAACACCATTTAAAGGCCATTATTTAGGACAGTGCAATTACATAACATTAAGTACCACTGATGAAAATGCCATTAAGCGTTGTTAAATACGAGTTGTTGTAATATAATATTATATTTATGTATAGCAATGTAAGTTATGTATTTAGCGTAATATGTGTAGTTAGGATGACGTGTGTTATTATATGTTGGTGGATGTGATCGCCCCGGGGACCAGCTCTCACACTAGGACTTTTAAGTTGAAGACGAAGAATATTACGGATTGCAGGAATATTTAGCTTAACAGGATGGTAAAGGTAAGTGTATACTTAGTGTAGGTGGAAGTTGGTAAGGTTTACCTGCCATCTTGTGTGTTCGTTGAACAAGGAAAAGGTCAGCACTCCTACTGCAGTGCAAAG